GATCTCCCGAACAGAGCATTATACCTCATGTCTTCTTCAATCATGTAGAACTTTGTTTCCTAAATGGTTCCGGTTGTATTCATCGGTAATATTATCTCCCCTTTAGTGGTTTCACATGCCATGTTGAATCCGTTAAGAACTCTGATTGCAAGCACAATTTGGTCTTGTAGACCTAGTTGTTCCACAACCCTCGATCTAATGATATTAGCCGATCTACCTGGATCAATTAACACACTCTTAATTTGAGATTTATTTATTAGTACAGATATTACTAGTGCATCATTGTAGGGCTGCACGATGCATTCAACGTCCTCGTCGTTGAAAGACAAGGTTCCTTCTGGTATGTAATCTCGATTCCAGTTTTTCCTCGTGATGGATACTTTGGTGCACTTTAACATCGACCCACGAGGAATGTCGACCCCACTGATGATCATGTTAATGACGAGCTAGGACTCCTCCTACTCGATCTGCTTACTAGAATCTCTATTCCTGAAATGGTTTTTGGCTCGATCGCTCTGGAACTCCTGGAGATGCCCGTTATTGAACAACCAGGCTATTTCCTCTCTCAATTCTCGGTAATCTTCTGTTTTGTGGCCATGAGTGCCATGATATTTACACATTAAGTTGGGATCCCTTTGGGATGGATCGGACTATAGATTTCGAGGCTACTTGGTGTATTTGATGCGTCCGATGGCAGATACGATGGAAGCGACATCGACGTTGAAGTTATGCTCTGATAACCTTGGTGCTTCCTTAGGCCCGATGGGCTCATCAAAACCATTTTTGGTCATGAGTCCTCAGTTATATAGACCTTGATCGCTTCTCCTTTCATTCCTCACAGGGTTTCGTCCAGACTCGTTACCCCTACGATCACCGTTGTATGGCTGATACCAATCTCTACTTGACCTTGGTTCACGGTCAATGTCTCTTTTGGATTTGTCACTAGCTCGTACGGGATAAACAGACCCCGGAAGGGGCCCCAAGTTGATCATCTTTGACCCCAATTTTTGATTGATACTGGTTATGCACATCGGCCCAAGTTATAGCCGTATCAGATTTTGCTTTAACTATTGCAAAGCCAATGAGCTTCGAGTATTGAGTCCTTGGGTGAAGGCCTAAACGGCCCAATCATCTGCCACCGATGACAGGTCCATCCGTTCCATTTGAAACCTTGACACGAACTCCCTGAGCATCTCGTTATCTCTTTGCTTTACCTTGAAAAGGTCCGACTTCCTGGTTTCAACCTTAATGGATCCGGCGTGTGCTTTTACAAAAGTATCTGCAAGCATAGCAAATGAGTTAACAGAATTGGGAGGTAAGTTGTGATACCATATCATAGCTCCTTTCGACAAGGTCTCTCCGAACTTTTTCAGCAAGACAAATTCGATCTCATCATCTTCCAAGTCGTTCCCCTTGATGGCGCACGTGTATGGGGTCACATGTTCATTTAGATAAGTTATTCCGTTGTACTTAGGAATTTCAGGCATGCAGAACTTCTTTGGGATCGGCTTCGGAGCTACGCTCAGAGGAAAAGGTTTTTGAACATACTTTTTTGAATCTAGGCCTTTCAGTATCGGTGGTGCTCTAGGGATTTGGTCGAACTTGGAGTTGTAGGTCTCCACCTTCTTGTCGTTTGCTTCAATTTTTTTTCCCATTTCTACCCGTTTTGTCAATTCCTCGAGCATTTTATTATCTCAGGATTGGTCCTGGGTTCAGCTTCATTTGGCCTATCTATGGATGATTCATGAGTGTTTTCCCGGGATGGTTCGGACTCAACTCTACTGGGAGCGCGACTTTGGTTATGCAGTTGGGCTATCACTGCCTGCTGAGCCTGCAATATTTCGAGGATCATCCGTAAGTTAATCCCATCTCCTTCACCGTTACTTATATTTTGGGCTACCGACCGGACTCCCCCGCGGACGCTGTTCTCAAGATCGGTAGGCAAATTTACGTTAATGGCCACATGTGAGTTGGCGTCAATCGGTCTGCAGCCGGAATTCTGTTGGGATCAGTAGGGGGCACCTCATTTCCGGACACCATATTGTTGTTCTCGCCATGGTGGCCAGACTCAACATCCGTGATTAGAGGGGCAGATTGGGAGTTCGACATTTTAAACTTAGACCTGAAATCAAAGACACTTCAAAGAACAAGTGTAAAGTAGGGTGTGTTATGGAAATTTGTATCAAATTTTTACTATTATCCTTAGCCCCACGGTGGGCGCCAAACTGTTTACCCTCAAAATTGGATAACAATTAAATTTGTAAGTGATTTTAAGGATATGCAGATTAACTTGATACAAAATGATAAATTGAGTTAGAATGAACAAGTAAAGATACAGTAAATTCAAACCACGCAAGAAGGATGATTCCAGCCTTAGTGAAGTATTCACGCTTGGTCCGGGCTCACATTGGACAATTTTGATGAACGAGAGAAAAACTTACAATAACAGTGAAAATGGTAGTATATTACTTTGGAATGCGTGTTACAATATGTCTAATGAATTATCAGACCCCCTCTATATAGTAGAGAAATCCTACTCTACGTACAATTCCATAAAAGGTAAAAAATCTTCTGTTTAGCTGATTGCCGGTTCTTCATCGATACGTGCTGAGATCCACGCCGTGATATCTGGCCGGCCACGGATATTGTCATGCTTGATTGCCTGACGATGTTCTCCGAAGTTTTTCAGGATTTGGATCGATCTCGAATCATAATCCCGATATTCTCGAGGGCAGGCATTGTATCCCTAGATCCTGACTCGATGGGACCTTTGCTTCGATTCCGATCCTTCGCAATCATATCTCGAGTTTGTTTTATCCTATTGGAGGCCGGAGTGTATTATGAGCTCAGTTTTTACCCGTACAGAAGTATAATGGTTAGAGTTTCAGATTTCATCTAATTCTTTTCCACTCAAACCATAAGGTGACAAATTTGAAGCCAAAGGACGAGATATCGATAGTCGGACAACAAAGGAATCTTATTTGAAGTAATTATTGCTCTTACAATATTTTTTTTTAGATTACAATTAGTATTCGCAACATTGTTTATAACGAGCAAAAGTTCTCCTCAAGTTATATAGCGCTTGGCTAGAAAAATAATAAAATGAGAGCAGGTCGAGTAGCTCGAAATGCTAAAGGAGTTCCACATGAATAAAAGTACTAATGTTTTTTTCTTCTTCTTCTATAATAGTGTTACTCTACAAATTTCGCACCTCAACTATTCCAAAAAATATCACAAATAAAAGTGATAGCGCTAATTTTCATTTTTTTGTTTTCGTTTTCAAATTTTAAAATCTGAAAATATAAGTCGGAGGAAAATTGTTGGACAATTTAAATGCTCTTTGAAGTGTATTTAACCATAAGTACAAACAAGTCAGGCTTCTTAAGACGAATTTGCGGATTTGGAAAAAGCGATGAAGACAATTACAAACCCCGCCCAAAACCGTAATAACAACAGAGCCTGCTCTGTCGTGCTTCGATTACAATGACGTTGTTGTCTATAGTAGCTGTTCTTAGTGCCATTACCTGTCCGAAGAATCCTTTGGAAAAACCTCACCCTTTACCATTTGAGCAGTAGATACTTTGAGAACCCTTGAGACAACTAGTTAATGAGTGATTCTATAGTTTAGTTAATTGATTTAAATTCTTTTTTGATTGACATATTGTGCACAAGCTGCAACATTTTCATTTTTTAGTATAAACTGTCTAGAGCTGGACATATGAAGCGTAAATAATTTAATATGAAAGTCCAATATTAGATAACGAAAAACCTTAATATGGGGGACCCTATATTGAATAACGAAAAATTAGGATAAGTATGACTAGATACCATATTAAGAAAACTTAACTTAAACTCAAAAGTTAGTTCATAATATGAACGTCGTCCAAGATAATATGATGAAATAACAACATATTCCTTCAATCAATATGAAATATTCGAACGGCAAATTCCCAAATAATTCTTAGAAACGTTGGAAAAAATGGGGAAGATCTCGATATGAAATTAGCAGCTTACTGAAATGGGATTTTTACCAAAATAGCCGGTCGAATTCACTGTTTATTTTTTCTAACTAATATACGTAGATTATACACATATTATATATGATTATACATATATTAAACATTCATAAGCTATTTTTAATTTAACCGATTGGATGAGTGATTATTTAGATTAATTCTTCTACTTAAAATTCACACCGTTCTCCCACGCTCCATTTGAAAGTTTAATCTTGCCAAATATTTTTAGGTATCAACATGTGTTTCTTGAGTGCCCTAGCTGGATTTTTTGATGAAAATAAAAAGTACAGTGACGACTACAGAAACGAACACTACTTATAATAATTAGAATGAAACGTGAAACTTGTGGACACACTGTGCGAATCTTTAAGTTGAAATTTCAAAATAATTACTTTGCTTAGTGTGTTTTTCGTCTCACTCTCTTAATCACATGCAGCATAGACCATCTAATTTTACATTAATTCAATAAATACAAATTGGTTATAATGATTTTGCTTATGTTATGTTAAAAAGGATAGATAATTTACCGACACAATGAAATTATATTGATGTAAAATAAAAAATATATTTTTATATTATCAGTGCCTGAAATTTAAATCCATTAAGTATATCATTAAGCATATAAAATGGAATTAGTGGGAAAATAGTGAAAGAATGACGAAATTGTGGTCTCAGAAATTGCTCCAAGAGGTTGGCGAAAATATAATTAAAAGGTGCCAATACATGAAAAAAAACAAGAAAAACGGCAAAATGGAAGAAAAACCCATCAAGAGGGTGACACGTGTCGCGAAACCAACGGTTGGCCTGAGCTTCCTTAACCCCACCATTTTTTTATTTATTTTCCCCACCAATTTTGTTTGTATCTTAAAAATCATGGTTATTAGCCTCCCTTCTTCCTATTAGAAAAGGACATCCTCCCCCACATTACCTCCTCGTGAAGAGTTTAAAATGCTCTGTCTAATATCACAATAATTCATGTCCATTTAAGCACCAACAAAGGTGAGGTCAAGATTTTCTTAGAAAACAACTAAGTATTGAAATACAAGAAAGAAAAAGAAATAAGGAGTAGTAGTGTAATTTTGTGTAAAATCAAAAACCCCCACACCTTATCCTATCATCTTCTTTCAAAACCCTTCACTAGATTTCCTTTCACTACTTTATCTATCTCCTAAAGCTATCTCCAACTCTCTCACTACTATTTAGCTTCCTCATCCTCTTTCATTCTCTTCTCCACTTTTCAACGCTTCTGCTTTTTCTCACTACTGTTTTATACCATTTCTTGATATGCACCAAATGAATTAAAGTTTTAGACTTTTTGTTCGTGCAATTTCAGTACTTTTGGCAATTGGTCAGCTCTTTGTTGAAGCTGAAAAGCATAATTAGAGTGGAAAAGGAGAAGGTTCATGGCACCAAGATCAGGCAGGGGAAAGGGAAACAAAGCTAAGACAGACAAAAAGAAGAAAGAAGAGAAAGGTTCAATACATATCTCATATATATTTCTTAGTATATGTATACTTAAATTTTTTTTTTTAAAAATTCATTTGACTTTGCTCTTTACATTTCATTTTTCTTTCTTTACAGTGATTCCCAGTATTCTTGACATAAGTGTCGTCACTCCCTATGAAACTGAAGTTATTCTCAAGGTATTGATGATTCATTTATTTATAATGAAAATTCAAACAAACACTGGCATTAATATTTCTCACTTGTATATGGAGAAAATAATTAGTAATAACTAATTGGCTGATTAATTGAAATCAAATTTACTTATTGAAGGGCATCTCAACGGACAAGATACTGGATGTGAGGAAGCTATTAGCTGCCAATGTTGAAACATGTCATTTCACAAACTATTCTTTGTCTCATGAGGTGAGTTCACTCTTAATTGCGTTAAATTACAAATTGACTATTTCTCTGTCTCTTTGTATTTTTATTTTTTTGTGGAAGTTAGCCAGTTGGTTAATCTTTGTTTTGTTCTTTTTAAAAATCTTTATATTCAAAACAAGAAAGTGTATTAATTTGGAAAAGTGATGGTGGTTTGAACAGGTGAAGGGACCAAAACTAAATGACAGGTTAGATGCTGCGACTCTGAAGCCATGTTTGCTGAGGATGGTTGAAGGTAGGTGTTTATTAAATTTCCTCCCTGTGTATATAGGTTCACGTGTTGGGTTTTACTATTTTAATGAGTAAGTATTAAAAAGGGGTTTGAACTTTTACTCTAGAGAGGAAAAAGAAAATACCTCAAATTTGACGCTATATTTTCAGCCTCCAGGCATGTTTAGGGAATTCCAATGTTGCATGACTTCAACTTTTGTGCAAGACAAAATTTAATTAATAAATAAATATTGTTCTCACTTTGAAATTTGAGGGAGCAGCAGATTCCATTCAGATATACTTTTCCTGTTACGTAGTATATTTGTTATTATCATTTGTCCTACTTACAAGAATGATTAAATTAGAGCCCACCAACCTTATTCGCCTAAGGCAAGAAGTGTAGATAGGTTATAGTTAAATTAATGGCGTGTATTTCAATAAAAAGTAAGTACCTCCTCTTTTTCAATTTAGATTAAATATTTAGTTTATCGAAAGTCTATCGTATTGATACGAGAAAAGTTATAACTTACGATGTTTTTTGTATAATTTTTAAATATTTAAATTTAAATTTTAAAATATTAAGGTGAACTAATTTAATTTAACTTTAAAATTTTACTATTAAATTGAGATAAACAAAATATATCATCAAAATTGATAAGGAAAAATGAATCTTCACAATCACCATCAACTTCAAAGTGAAAAACTTCACCTACTCCCCGTTAATAAATAATACTAATATATAGTATATATTAAATGCTGTTGTACTACTTGTGATTTTCTGTCGACCAGTACGTCTGAGCACAATCAGGAAATCTCAACCGAGTATTCACAGTAATCAGTACCATACATTTAATCAACAACTCCATCTGTGTCCGTCCGGATATACTTGCATTTCCTGCAAAATGTTTGAGCTTATAGCAGAACATAGGGTGTAAAGAAAAAGTGATTAATTATTCGCCAAATTAAATAATTTAACATAATCAAAATACATTTAATTTAATTTAATCATGTAACAAAGTTTATAGGCCAGGTACGTGTCGTTTAGTTAAAATGTAGTAACTGAATATTAAATTTTTTACTCTTATATTTCTCAAATATTTTGTAATCGTTTTTATTCGGTCGAAAGTATATCGAAAATAAATTTTTTATCTAACAGAATATAAGGATAATATGTGCGTACACTCCTACCTCCTCAAATGTAAGATCATACCGATTATGTAAATATTGTAGTTAAACTGAATATAGATTAGTTTTGTTGTGAGAATAAAATGTCACTATGCCCATTACTACTCTTTTTGTTTTCTTCTATGAAATCACATTTTTTTTGTTGATCAAATAGAATAGGGAAGTCACACATGCAGCCAAACATCAAATAATCCAAAAAAGTTTGATTAACAAAAATCCTTTGAGCATTGCCCGAAATTCCTACTTTATTAACAAAAATGCCACTGACTTCTCAGAGGACTACACGGAGGAGTCTCAGGCAGTGGATCATGTCCGGAGGTTACTCGACATCGTCGCGTGCATAACACGCTTCGCCAAGGCCTAGGCCGGAAAAGTCACCACTCCCTCCGCCGCCAGCTCAGGTACGGAATCTCGGGCCAAGAAACACAAGGCGCAGCGAAATGCTTCAGGCCGGCCAGCATCGCCGTCCGATGGAGTGGCACCTTCATCGCCGTCAGCCTCGGCGGCGCAGGAAGAGAATGAAATGGTGGCGATTCATCCAATTCCTAAGCTCTCTGATTTCTACGAGTTCTTCTCTTTCTCTAACCTCTCTCCGCCTATACTAAGTACGGTTTATTTCTCCCTTTCGATATTCTTCTCACTTCAATCTGAAACTTCTAGAATATTATCGTGCATTTCTTCTAAATGCGCTATTTCAGGTTTGAAAAGAGTTGATTGTAACGATGCTAAAACAAGGCGAGATGGCGATTATTTCGAATTACAGGTACCTTATTTTCTTTCTTTTCTTCCGGTCTTGCATTTGTTCGGAATTTGATGATGCCAAAACTCTGTGCAGATTAAGATATGCAATGGGAAGACATTACAAGTGGTTGCAGCAGCAAAAGGTTTCTATACATTGGGGAAGCCACTTATGCGAAGCCATTGCTTGGTTGATCTTCTGCAACAGCTCAGCCAAGCTTTTGCTAATGCAAGTACCTTCATAGCCTTACTATGCGTTGCTTACATCACTCGTATAATTTGCAATTTTTTCTTGTGCATCAAGTTCTCTTTTCACTAATGAAATTAAATTGTCCTAATTATCAATCGCATTTGCCATTTACACGTGATTCATCAATGGTATCTAATGGCGGGACACCACTGTCATTAGGTCAGTACCTATTTGATTGATAATGATAGCATGTTGGGACATACATAAGAAAGAGGATATAAGAACAATTGCATTCATCTTTTTATCGGCTTGATTAATCAGTACTAACAGTCTTAACTCAGAAAATTGATATCACTTGCTATTTCACTAAATTGCTTTGAATTTGTGACGTCTCTTCTGTTAGCGTACATTAATCTTTTTTTGAATAAAAGATTGGTTTTCCTTTGCAGGCATATGAATCCTTGATGAAGGCCTTTACAGAACATAACAAGGTGACATCTTGTTTATTGTGAATAAGCTTCAAGGGTAAATGAAGTGGTATTTAACTGTGTGCGCAAATTTTTTTCTATGTTGCTTGTTTTCAGTTTGGTAATCTTCCATATGGTTTCCGCGCCAACACATGGCTTGTCCCTCCATCAGTCGTTGATTCTGCGTCAAACTTCACTCCCCTTCCAGTGGAAGATGAGAGTTGGGGTGGCAACGGCGGAGGTCAGGGAGGGAACGGAGAGCATGATCATAGATCATGGGCTACAGATTTTGCAGTACTGGCAAAGCTTCCTTGCAAGACTGAAGAGGAGAGGGTGGTTCGAGACCGAAAGGCTTTTTTGCTTCATAATCTTTTCCTTGACGTCTCTATTTTTAAAGCTGTCTCAGCCATATACAAAGTCATGGATTCTACTTCTAGGGGTACCTCAAATTGTGCTTTGGGTTCAGTACTCTCTGAGGACTGCATTGGTGATTTGTCTATTACAGTTAAGAGAGATTTCGGCGATGCTAGCCTGAAAGAAGCCAAAGTTATCGGCAGTAGAGATTTTAATGAATCTGCTGAGGATGTCGCTCAAAGAAACTTAGCTAAAGGGGTAACTGCCGATGAAAGTGTTGTCATACATGTAAGTTACAAGCTGACTTATGAGAGATTTGGAAAACCCTTATATAGTTGTAGTATGATTTTCCTTTCCTCCTTTCTCCTTTATTTATAAGCAGGGACATGGTCCACCCAGGGGGAAGTGGGTATAAGTAGGCATTGCATTATTTATTTCAGTGTGAACATACTCTTTTCACCTCCTGGAGACCCCCCCCCTCCCTGCTGTTTCCATGATGTTATTTATGAGTTGGGTAACATCTTTAACTTCCAACTCTTCTCTTTCAAGCACCCTCTTATTTTACTTTTCTGGTTTCATATGACGTGCATAGGATTGATGTAAAAGTTATCTGTCAACTCTCCTGTCCTGGGGGATCAATAATCATGGTATCCCAATTGGTTGGCTGCCCGTAGGTCCTGAACTTCTACCTTGTTGGTGGGGTTGGATTTCCCATCTTATAAGCCCCTTCCCCTTCTCCTGCCCCTATGTATAAATTTTATTTTTTTTTCAAAAAAAAAAAGGAAAAAGAAGAAACTGTCCTATCTTTTTGCTGTCACCAATTATTTCATTTCAGGAAGTTGAAAGGATATGTTTAATTGGACAGGATACATCCTCATTGGGCATGGTGTCAGTGCGACATTGTGGCTACACTGCAATTGTGAAAGTTGTTGGTGACATTAAAGTGGATAAGAGTCTGCCTCTGGATATCGAAATCGATGATCAACCAGATGGGGGAGCCAATGCACTCAACATCAACAGGTTTGAGAAAAAGCAATAAACCTATATGAACTTTTATATGGCGGGTGATGGAAGACTAAGAATTTTATCGTTAAGAATATACTTAAGTATAGGATCATTAATTTATCATGTTACCACAGTCAAGCAGTTATACGTGTATCGTTTTTTTTTCCTTTCTTTATTTAATTAACTTTTCGTGCTTTTATGAAGAGGACAATTCATATAGTTGGGAACCAACACCATGTTAAGAGTTTGATTGGAGATGACAAGTTACATGGGTAATAATATCAAAATTCAAAATTGAGGTTGTGAAAGATAAGTCACATTGGCCAATTGATGTCAATGTTTAAATCTAACGGTTTTTTTTTCTTGAGGATTCACTCTTCTTTAGGACTATGTTAATGGTTTTCTTTGTGCTTGCTTCTAATTCTCTGTTTTAACCTTTTCCAGCTTACGCCTTCTGCTCAACAAGCCAATGACTGCTGGTTTTTCTGGAGGTGGTCAATTGCCCCAGTCTGATTTGGACGACCATGCAAATTCAATGTCTTTGGTCCATAAAATCATTAAGGATGATTTGAGTAAGCTAAAGGGAATGGATGATAAATCCAAAGGGTCCATCAGATGGGAACTTGGTTCTTGTTGGGTTCAGCATCTACAAAAGCAAGAAACACCATCAGAGGACACAATTGGGAATGATGGTAAGGCTGAACCCATAGTTAAGGGACTTGGAAGACAGTTTAAAATGCTCAAAAAGAGGGAAACAAGACCAAGTACTGTAAGTTCCATGGATGACAATGAAGCAGATGATGTGACAGCCAGCACTCTGAACGCAGAAAGTGGCTCGACGGAACTTAGCAATGGCAAACCAAAGTGTGAAACTGAATGGAGGAGATTTGTCTCGCAAGAAGCTTACCTTCGTTTGAAAGAAAGTGGAATGGATCTTCATCTGAAGGTATAATAGCACAGCTTTTATATGGAACATCCTTATGCTATAATGTGATGAAAAATTGATGTGCAAAGGGAGAGGAGAGGAGAAGAAGGAAAAGAGAAATAGTGAATAAATAAGACTGTTTTCCTCGGCACATAATTATGCTAAAATGTGCACCTATTGTTCTTTCTCAAGTACTTTGCTAATTGCCACAGAAGTGTTTAGTCATCTCCCCTTCAAACAATAGCCTTCCTTATATGACCTCCGCACATCTTGTATCTTCTTACTTCAAATCGTTCATGATATTACTTAAGAAGTTCTGACTCGGCCAGAATTCAACATGTCATTGAATTCTCAAGCTAAGCTGTTCAATTGCCATCTTTTGAGTGAAAGGGAGAAAGAGTAATAGGAATAATTGTTGAGGAAATAGAAAGATTTTGTCAGTAGCATTCTTTAATATTATCACTCACAGTACTTATAAAAAAACATTATCACTCAGAGTTAACTGACAAATATGCTTCTTGTTACAGTCAGTGGATGAACTTGTCGAAATGGCACACAAGTATTATGATGAAGTTGCTATCCCGAAGCTGGTAATGCTAAATATTGAATGTATTTCGGTAGTGAAATCTTTGAAATACGTGAAGAGAAAAACTAATCTCTAATTCTATTTAGGTTACAGACTTTGCATCGTTGGAACTTTCTCCAGTTGATGGACGCACCCTTACTGACTTCATGCATCTTAGGGGTTTACAAATGCGTTCTTTGGGTCGTGTGGTAAGATTCATTTCCTCATCTATCTCGAGCTTCAGGAAATGAAAAATGTTGATGTCTTCTTATGAACCTGATGCCATTGCATAATGTAGGTTGAACTTGCAGAGAAGCTTCCTCACATACAGTCGCTTTGTATTCATGAGATGGTTACTCGAGCTTTCAAGCATGTACTTAGAGCTGTCATTGCCTCCATTGACAATGTAGCCAACTTATCAGCTGCTATAGCATCATCCTTAAATTTCTTGTTTGGGTCCTCTACCACACAAGACAGTGATGAAAACCACATTCTCAAGATGCAATGGTTAAGGGAATTTCTTTTTGAAAGATTCAGTTGGAGATTAAAAGATGAATTCCAACAGTTGAGGAAATTGTCGGTCCTCCGCGGACTTTGTCATAAGGTACTATAAGCGTGGCTGCATTTATTTAAGTTTACCATTCAAAGTAAATAACTTTAGTTTTATTTCAGGTTGGATTAGAGTTGATTCCAAAAGATTATGATATGGAAAGCCCATATCCCTTCAGTAAAACTGATGTTATCAGCGTAGTGCCTTTGTGTAAAGTAAGCCTTTCTGCTTCTACCCGTTCCTTTTGAACTTCATGAAATGACCTGAAATGTGGCTTGATTTAATTATTATCTTCTTTTCAGCATGTTGGATGCTCTTCTGCTGATGGACGGACTTTACTAGAATCATCTAAGGTTGCCCTTGACAAAGGGAAGTTGGAAGATGCTGTAATGTATGGAACAAAGGTACAAATTATAAAATAACAGTATATGCTTACTCAGAAGTCTCTGAAGTCCATCCCTCAAAGCGCACAGATTTTCTTTGACCTTATCGGACACAGATTTACTTTTGTTGCTTGTGTATTTACTTGAAGGCCCTGGCAAAATTGATAGCTGTATGTGGACCCTATCACCGTGCCACTGCAAGTGCATATAGCCTCCT